CTGTGCAGAGAGCCACACAGTGAGTCACCGAAGTCTCCTGTCAATGGCCAGCAAGGAACTGAGGCCTCCTGCCAACAGCCACGACTCACATCTCAAAAGCGTCTCCTCCAGCCATGGCCAAGTCCTCTGATGCTGGTCTCACTGGGCTGAGATCTTGACTGCAACAGCCAGAACCACCCAGCTAAGCCACTTCCAAGTTCTGACTCACAGAAACATGTGAGATAATAGGTAAATAAATGTTATTGTTGGGCTGGGCATGGTGGCTCACACCTGTAATCCTAGTGCTTTTTTTTTTTTTTTTTTTTTTGAGGCAGAGTCTCGCTCTGTCGCCCAGGCTGGAGTGCAGTGGCGCGATCTCGGCTCACTGCAAGCTCCGCCTCCCGGGTTCACACCATTCTCCTGCCTCAGCCTCCCGAGTACCTGGGACTACAGGCGCCCGCCACCACGCCTGGTTAATTTTTTGTATTTTTAGTAGAGACAGGGTTTCACCGTGTTGGCCAGGATGGTCTCGATCTCCTGACCTCGTGATTCGCCCGCCTCGGCCTCCCAAAGTGCAGGGATTATAGGCGTGAGCCACCACGCCCAGCCAATCCTAGTGCTTTGGGAGGCTAAGGCAGGAAGATCGCTTGAGCTCAGGAGTTTGAGAACAGCTCAACCTAGAGAGACCCCATCTCCAACAACAATAACAACAACAAATTAGCTGGCTGTGGCAGTACATGCCTGTGACCCCAGCTACCTGGGAGGCTGAGGTAGGAGGATCTCAAGCCCAAGGGTTCCAGGCTGCAGTGAGCTAGGATCTCACCACTGCTCTCCAACCTGGGTGACAGACTGAGACCACGTCTCTAAAAAATTTAAAATAAATAAATAATTAAAATTAAAAATGTTATTGTTTGAAGCTGCTAGTTTTGGGGGATGGTTTGTCATGGAGCAGTAATAACAAATTTCCTAACAGAGACTTACGCTCCATCAGCGCATAGGGGCTATGCACATGTGTCTGTGGCAGATTCTCGCAGTCCTCCACGCTACCCACTGTGCTGTCACAGGGAGCGCTGTGGCAGGCATGTAGGTTTACCAGTAACCATTGAGTCCTGACAATAATCACTGACCGGTTGAAAAGAGTACAAGGGTCCCCAGGCACAGAGCCAGCTGAAGGAGCGCTCATGGATGCAGAGATACGGGGGTCGGGGGAGTACATACTTGTTCAGGCCCTGGGGTGGGGATGAGGGGATCGGGTGAAAGGGCCCAGATAGTCAAAAGGCAAGGAGGTGCTGGGAGGGGCGCCACTTGCAGCCCAGGCTCCAAGTCCCCCATGCATGCCTATTGTCCCATCAGACTTCACTTACAAAATACAAATTTAAAGATAAAATTGTTATGAATTTCAAGACAGCAGCTACAGAACTTACAACCCCAGGCACAGGGCCCTTCTGAGCAGGAAGTCCCCTGCAGCTACCCCAGCCCCATGCCACAAAGCCAGGTCTAGATGCATAGAGAGGTAGAGAGGGGCAGTTATCCTACAAGGTTTCAAAAAATAGGAGAATCAAATATTTATGAATAGACCTCACATCTTCCACTCTCCTTTGGCCTTTTTTCTATAAGAGATTCTTTGGGATTGTTCAAATGGCCTGCAACACATTAAAAATGTTTTCTAGGAAATTCTAACTAATGTCCTCTCTCTCACCTTCTGGCAAAAAAAAAAAGAATATCATTCCATTGACCCTAATTTGCACTCCTAACAGCAAAAAAAAGTCCTGTAATTTCACACTATTTCCACTAGGTGGCGAATGTTGTCCCTGAGAGGAAAAATGAATGGTAAATCCAAAGTGCCCCCAAGCAGGAGCTCTGGGAGTCCAAGTTTAACTTCTCTGAATGAACTCCTGCCCCCCCTTCACAGCCCCTGCCGTGGGTATTTACCACATCTTCCCATTATCTGTGCTATTGCGTATGTTAAAACACACATACACACACACACACACACACACATACATTTAGAAAAAGAGAAGACTTTATTTCCTGTAAAACATTCCAGCCTGCAAGGTGGCCATCTGCAGGCTGGGAAGTGTGCCAATGGCCAAGCACTTTGAAAGAGGAGGGGTTGGGGCAGGAGCTTTATGCTGACCAGTCTGGCTAGACATACGTATTCAACAGGCTACAGGAGGAGCTATGAATATTCATGAAGGCACTGTGCCTCCTCTCTGTAATCCTAGCATTTTGGGAGGCTGAGGCAGGAGGATTGCTTGAGCCCAGGAGTTAGAGACCAGTCTGAGCAACATAGTGAGATTCCATCTCTACAAAAAATACAAAATTAGCTGGGGTAATGGCACGTGCCTGTGGTCCCAGCTACTCAGGAGGCTGAGGTGGGAGGATCACTTGAACCAAGGAGGTTGAGGCTGCAGTGAGCCACGACTGAGTCACTGTACTCTAGCCTGGGTGAGAGAGCCTGTCTCAAAAACAAACAAAAGAATAGTTATGGCCAGGCGCAGTGGCTCACGCCTGTAATCCCAGCACTTTGGGAGGCAGAGGTGGACGGATCACAAGTTCCGGAGTTCAAGACCAGCCTGGCCAACATGGTGAAACCCCATCTACTAAAAATACAAAAATTAGCTGGGTGTGGTGGCACATGCCTGTAGTCCCAGCTACTTGGGAGGCTGAGACAGAAGAATTGCTTGAACCCGGGAGGCGGACGTTGCAGTGAGCCAAGATCACGTCATTGCACTCCAGCCTGGCGACAGAGCGAGACTCCGTCTCAAAAAAAAAAAAAAAAAGGAATAGTCATTAAGGTGTTTCACATTCATATTGAACAAACATGCATGTAACATATGACCCATGTTTGCTCTGAGATGGAAACTGAACATGTAAATGTATTACAGTTAGGCCCTATACGTCAAAAGGCTTTTCAGGACACAGACACACTCTGTGTGCAACCTCTGTAAACAGGCTGGGGCAGACCATGGTCGGTGGTCTTCTTATCTGGAGAAAGTTATTGAAATCAGTCTCTTGTCCAATCAAAGCTGCAGTTATGGCTGGTGGAACAGGAGTTGGGAGTCAGTTAGTCACATCTGGTGGAACTGCAAATTGTTTCAGTATTGCTTATCTCAAGGCCAGTGCTTGTTTAGCTGCTAGAGAAAAAGAAAAGCCTTGTGGCAGTGAGAACAGAGTTCATTCTTTTAAGTGTGGGGTGCCTGACTTAACCCTTGCCTGGCATGGCCTTAGGTCCTGTTTATAATTTAGCATCTTATTTGCCACAAAGAGTCCGTCATGTCAGTCTTACTATCTCTATTTTGTCTCACTATCTCTATTTTAACGGTAATGCTGGTCAGTTGTTGTGTCTGAACCACAAAAAGGAGGGGGTGTAACGAAGTTTCTGACCTCCTATCCTGTTGTGGCTGGGAGCTCAGTTTTAAAGTTTTTCTGGGGTACCGTTGGCCATAAAGGGGTCCATTCAGTTTGCTGGGGGCTTATAATTTTATTTTTAGTTTACACTTAAAATTTTTCTTAGAATCAGTTCTCTTTTTAAATGTACATAAATGTATTTTAAGAAAGTTTATATGCTCAAATTTAATTGAGAAACCAGTCTCACCTGTCACACACACAAACTAACATCACAGTAAGTTCATAGCAAATAAAGCATCATCATTCATTTCTGACCAGATACAGCTGCCGAGCTGAAGGGCCAGACATCAAGGCTGAGAGGCAGGTATAAGTCCCATGGTTAGGACTGTCAGCTGGGGAGGGGTGTCTCTGTGCCAAGCTAGACTGTGTTTAATCCTTTTAATCACAAGAGACAAAAATCCTCAGACACAAGAGGGTATGTCAAAGGGTGTCAGGCCGCCCTTTCTTTTCTTTCTTTCTTTCTCTTTTTTTTTTTTCAAGATGGAGTCTTGCTCTGTTGCCCAGGCTGGAGTGCAGTGGTACAATCTCAGCTCACTGCAACCTGTGTCTCCCGGGTTCAAGCGATTCTCCTTCTCAGCCTCCCGAGTAGCTGGGATTACAGGTGCATGCCATCAAGCCCAGCTAAATTTTGTATTTTTAGTAGAGAGGGGTTTTCACCATGTTGGCCAGGCTGGTCTTGAACTCCTGGCCTCAAGTGATCTGCCCACCTCAGCCTCCCAAAGTGCTAGGATTACAGGCGTGAGCCACCGCGCCTGGCTATCAGGCCCCCCTTTCTTCCCTGACAGTGTGCCAGTGGCCCCTGCCCATGGTGACTTCCACAGTGCCTGCTGTGGCCAGACCCCCAGCAAAGCACCTGCCAGGCTTATCTCACTCCTTCCTCACAGCAGTCAGGGAGGTGGGGTCTTTGACTTTCCCCATTCTGCAGATGAGGAAACTGAGGCAGAGATAGGCTGTGACTATTGCCCAAAGTCACAGAGCAAGTAAATAGCAAAATCACGTTTCAGAGCGAGGCAGGCTGCTCCACAGGCTGGCTCAGAACAGCCGGGGTGATGGAGACCTGCATCTGCAAAGATCCAGCAAGCAGAGGCTCTGCTCCAAGGGGGCCCAGCAGCGGCAGACAGGGTTACCCATTTCCTCCTGGTCGCACACGTGCTAAAAATGCTACCTAATAATCACTGCCTCTCGATCCCCTCTGCTTCCCATGAGAAGGAAAATTTGTCTTGGGGGATATTGAAAGATCCCAGCCTCCAAAGTAAGTTTGCCTAAGCAGTTTCCTTTATAATACAATTACCAAACAGAGGCTGTTTCCTTCAGCTCAGGGGACAAGAAAGGAGTGGCTCTCTCCCTCATGTTTCTCGTTATTTGTGTCATAGGCATGTATCACCTGAAATTGCCTGAGAGGCTCAACCAAATTTTAGTCACAAGATCTGCGAACGCTTCCCTAGTGGGTGCTGAGGTTCTCCAAGGAGCCGCTGGGCCCATGTGCAGACAGATAAGCAAATGGCTGGGTGAGTGCATGGGGGAGGGCTTCCTGTAAGAGGTCATGCTCCTGGTGAATCTTAAAGGATGCAGCATGCCAGGCAGAAATTCCACAGGGCTCCAGAAAGAGGGCAGGGCAGAGGCAAAAGCACAGAGACAAAAGTCTGCGTGTGGGTGGGGAGTGAGGGACATGGCTAGCCTACCACGAAGCTTCAGATCAGGAAGAGATGACAGGTGAGGCTGGACAGGGTGGCAGAGGGTATCCTGAAGACAGCGGGGAACCATGAAAGACATGGAGCAGGGGCGTGGTGAGATTAAATCTGTATAGCAGAGGCAGAGGCCGGCATCGAGGAGACAACAGTCCTGACAAGACACAGATAAGACCAGCACTAGAGAAGAGACGGCCAGCAAGGCCGACGAGTATGTATTACATAATGCCCATGGGCCAGGCAGAGGTGCTGGGGAGGTAAGAGTTAATGGGACAGAGTCTCTGCCCTCTTGACTCACATCAATGGGAGGAGACATTTAATAAACACATAAAAATGTAAAAATAAGATCATTTCAGATCCTGATCAATGCTAAGGAAAATATGAAATGGAGTATTTTGGTACAGAAGGATGGAGCTCTGCCTTGGTGAGGGAGGCCTTTGAGGAGGGGTCATCTGAATTGAGATGAGAATGATGATCAGGAGGAAGCCATGTGGGGCTCTGGGGGAAGGGCACTCCAGGCAGAGGGAACAGCAAGTGCAAAGGTCCTGAGGCAGGAAAGTGCTGGAGTGTTTGAGCAACAGAAAGAAAATCGGTGTGGCTGGACATTGATGAGCAAAGTGGAGAGTGGGTGATGGGGTCAAGAAACAGATAGGGGCCAAGCTACAGCGAGGCCTGTAGCTTCCTGACCACAGGGGCACGGGCTTTCTTTTATTTGCGATGGGAAGCCAAGAAGGCTAATGAAGACCAGAGCAGTAGCAGCACAGGGAGAAGTGGCTGAAATGACAGGAATTACTGATGGGTTGGACAGGAAGGAGAAGTGACTCTTCAGAGGAGTTTTATGGAAGAGAGAAGCAGAAAAATTAAGGCAGGATTTTTCAAAAGGGCAGTATTATAGGCTGCTTTTTTTGTTTTTCTGGTTTTTTGTTGTTGTTGTTGTTGTTTTTTGAGATGGAGTTTTGTTCTTGTTACCCAGTCTGGAGTGCAATGGCACGATCTTGGCTGACCACAGCCTCTGCTTCCTGGGTTCAAGTGATTCTCCTGCCTCCACCTCCCAAGTAGCTGGGATTACAGGCATGCGTCACCACCCCCAGCTAATTTTATATTTTTAGTAGAGACAGTGTTTCTCCATGTTGGTCAGGCTGGTCTCGAACCCACAACCTAAAGTGATCCGCCCACCTCAGCATCCCAAAGTGCTGGGATTACAGGCGTGAGCCACCACGCCCAGCCTGGCTGCTCCTAACCTGATGGAATGACCCAGTGAAGGAGAAACTGATGATGCAGAGGAAGGGGCACCTGATGGGGCAATGTCCTGGAATGGTGAAGAGGGGAGAACTCAGAGCACGAGAGCGGGGCTTGGCCTTCGCCTTGGTTCCTGTTGCTGCTGTCACAAGAGGCTTCATACAACATCACACATTTATTTTCTCACTCTTCATCACGCAGCTCCTGTGGGCTCTTTTCTTCCAGCCCTCCTGAGGTAGATCAGCAGGACCTGTTTTCTGAGCACCTGTCAGGACCCCTGGTCACCATCCTGCTGACGGCAGCAGGATCTGGTTGAAACAAGGTGTAGTGAAGAAGCTGGCAGAAACCAGAAACCAGCAGATGGGGACAAAAGCAACCACTAGTTGTCCTCACTGCTCTCTAACATAGACATCCCCTACCCACACCATGGTAGTTTACAAATGCCATGGCAACATGCCATGGCAACAACCTGAAAGTTACAGGGTTCTGGAAACTCACCACCCCTTTTCTAGAAAGTTCTAAATAACCTGCCCCTTAAATTACATGTAATGAATATAAAGCGGCTTTCTTCACCACTGGCTGTTTGACTTCTATCGTGGCCCAAGCCAAGAGCCCTCAGTGGCTAAGCCCTGTTGTGGGGGCTCACCTGCCCTGCATCACTTGTAGGTGGAAATCAAGGTGATGCAGGGCAGGTGAGCCCCCACAACAGGGCTCACCTGGCAGGGCTGCATTCCTCTCTGGAGGCTCCGGGAGAATCCACTCGCAGGCTCATCCAGGCTGTTCGCAGATCCAGTTCCTGCATTATCCTGTCCCTCTTGGACAGATGGGAGTGTATTTACCCATATGGGTAAGTACACATGGGAAAAAAAGACAGTCTTGCCTGATGTTGGGATGGGGGGGAAATTTTTATTTTCTTCTTCCTGTTCATCTGAATATTCTAATTTCCCACAATGAAAATCATTTATTTATTATTTATGTAGTTTTTTAAATTCACGAAACCCCTCTGTGTTGATGTAGTTTTTCGTTTTAAGTTGTACATGCTGAAAATAAGGAAATCTCAGAGGCTCAAGAGGAAGGAGGGCACGGGCCCCACCAGCCCTACTCAGGACACCTGGCCTGGCGGCTTCAGCGCCCCCACTCACTCCAGAACCCCTTTCCCACCTGCATGGGGCTCACTGGTGAATGTGTGCAGGGCAGAGGCGGCGGAACATGCCAGGGCTCCATGGGGAGGGAGGGAAGGCCCTGACAGGCTGAGGCTCCTCTCCAGGGTCCAGGCTCCAGTCAGAGTCCCCACTGAGCACACACCAGGGGACCCACAGGAGCAACCAGGCCGCCAAGCAGGTGTGACTTCGGTGGGGGAACAGCACCTCCTCCACCCTTCTCTGAGCCCAGGATCAGTGGGTGGGGGAAGCAGAGCTAGGGCCTGGCAGCCTCTCAGGGCCTCCCAGGAGGGTGAACACCCAACTCCTGCCCCAAGAGCAGAACTGGGGGCGGGGGAGAGAACAGGAGGCCTCCTGGGGAAGGACTCAGCCTGCTTGGCCATGCAGGAGGAGGGAGGCTGGCCTGAGAAGGGTGTGGGACCAAAATAAGAACAGACACCCCCCCGCTGTAGGGCCGAGGAATATTCCCGAGGGTCCAGCGTGTCAATGAAGTGCATTTAAAACTTCCGTCAGCCTTTTGTCCTTGGCTTTTCCTGCCAGGCTTCTGTAACTTCTGTGTTTTGACCTTATTTTATTTATTTATTAATACGGAGTCTCACTCTGTCGCCCAGGCTGGAGTGCAGTGGTATAGTCTCAGCTCACTGCAACCTCTGCCTCCCGGGTTCAAGCAATTCTCCATCCCAAACTACATTTATGTTTTATAGGAAGCTTTATGTCACTAGCATAAATGGAAAATGGTGTCCCTCCCCTAAGTAGAATGTGCTCTAGAAGGAAATGTACTGCAAATGTTCAAACCATAGGCCAAAATTCTAGCTAGAGACTCACGCTTGGTAGAAGCTCTGCTTCCCAGGCCTGCAGCTGTTTGTCAGAAAGAGGGATGGGGAAGCGCTAGGCAGGAGCTAAAAACCATGGCACCAAGAAGAGAGGGGAGAGTTAAAAATGAAGTCACTCTCCCCACCATGGTGTTCTCAGCCAGTGAGAGCTGCCCAGCCCATACCTCTGTGAGGCAGGCAGGACGGGGTCACTGCTCCCACTTTACAGATGAGGAAAACTGAGGTTCGGAGAAACATCTAGCATAGCCACGTTTCTCGGGGGTCTCCTAGTTCTCCACCTTCTGGGAGCAGGCGAGGGGCCACCTCAGTCCTCCACAGACCCGATCCCAAAGCCGGTCGCAGCACTGGCGGCACAGTGGGACACCCTTCATAAACCGGGGTTGAGATGTGGTTCTGGGCCCAAGGCGTGGGCCCCTGAGGGCCTCCAGCCTCTGGAAATAGGCCCCACGGCTGCACTGGGGGGATAAGCCAGGCTATTTTCATCACTTCCTTCCACCCGCTTCCGCAGGGGCCACCTCAGCTGCATCCCATAGAGTTGCCACCCAGACCTCAGCCAGGACCTTTCAGGCCACGCGGGAGTGCCCAACCGAAGGCTTCACAGGTAAGTGGCCCTCTGTATTACCCAACATGGCCTCCCACAGGGACAGAGGAGGTCAACTCCTGTCCCCTTAACAAGACAGGGTTGGGTGGGACATTCTCTCTGAGACATCATCTCCTTGGCTGAGTCAAGATTAATGAGTTGATTTGACACTTATTCACTGGAAACCTGCTGTGGGTTGGGGGAGCTCTGCTTGTGGAGGGGAAACGCCTGTGGGGAAGAACCAAACAGAGGGCCACGGTTCCTGAGACCTGAGTGTGAGTCTGGCCTCTGACACCACACCAGGTAGCCCTGGGCACGTTGCTTTCCCTCTGTGGGCCTCAGTTTCCCCAAGTCAGTGTTAGCCCAGATGAGTGACTTTCCAAATGGGGCCCCACTGGGTTCCCCTCCCTGCTCCAGTCAGTGTCCCCATCCCACTGTCTTCTGCATCTGGGAATCAGGTAACAGCTCACTTAGCTGGCGGGGGCGCAGCCTGGAGGCCCCTCCGAGGCTCTTTCCTAGTCTCTGGGGTCTGTGGTCCTGGGCGGGGACTCATTTAGCAGCCATCTGCTCCTCTCATCCCCAAGTAGGGGATGGGGTCTCTGCTAGGGGCCAGGAAGTCCCTTCCCCTTCCCAAAAACAAATTTACCCCAATCCACAGCTGCCCTCACCACCCTGCCTTCAACGGTGTCCAGAGAGGGTCAGCCAGGCCTGGGTTGGGCACGCTGTACCTTCCCCAGTCACCAGCCTGTTTCCCGGAGGAGAAGGCTGAGACCCGAGAAGGGAGGTGAGTGCGCCATGTCAGGCTCCACTGCATCCCCGGTGCTTGCCATCCCTGAGGATGGGTCAGCTGCCAGGCCCTCCCTCACAGCTCCTCTCTCTGCAGCCCAGCCTGTCCCATGCCTGCCTGGGAAGCCCTGTTCCTGCTCTGGGCCACAGCAGAGGCCACCAAGGACTGCCCTATCCCATGCACCTGCCGCGCCCTGGAAACCATGGGGCTGTGGGTGGACTGCAGGGGCCGTGGGCTCACGGCCCTGCCTGCCCTGCCAGCCCGCACCCGCCACCTCCTGCTGGCCAACAACAGCCTTCAGTCCGTGCCCCCGGGAGCCTTCGACCACCTGCCCCAGCTGCAGACCCTCGATGTGACGCAGAACCCGTGGCACTGTGACTGCAGCCTCACCTATCTGCGCCTCTGGCTGGAGGACCGCACACCCGAGGCCCTGCTGCAGGTCCGCTGCGCCAGCCCCAGCCTCGCTGCCCATGGCCCGCTGGGCCAGCTGACAGGCTACCAGCTGGGCAGCTGCGGCTGGCAGCTGCAGGCGTCCTGGGTGCGCTCAGGGGTCTTGTGGGACGTGGCACTGGTCGCCGTGGCTGCGCTGGGCCTGGCTCTTCTGGCTGGCCTGCTGTGTGCCACCACTGAGGTCCTGGATTGAGCCAGGCCCCCAGAACCCCTGGTCCCAGGCCAGGGGGCCAATCCCTGAGGCAGGTCCCCAGACTCCACCAAGCCTGGTCAGCCCAAACCACTAGAAGCCCAAAATAAACTGGCAGCTTGGCTGTTTTATATAAGCTCAGAGATCTTTTTTCCCCTTTTGGCACTTGAGTCTGTCTCCTTCTGAAAACCTGGCTCCATTTTGTCATAACCAGACATCAATTGGGGCTTCCCTGTTCCTCAAGTTGTTAGTAAAATGGACTGCCCACCTCCCCCACCTTTCACCCTTAATTACACAGTCTCTGGACATCCCAAGCCAGGACCTGGGACTCTGGGTCTCATGGCCTCAGCCGTCTGCTTCTGGTGTGGGTCACCCTGGACAGCCCAGGCCAGCTTCACACTGGGGCCCAGCCCTCACCACATTCCCCAGAAATCTCGCTCTCCCAGCACAGTAGTGAGCAGAGCAGGGTGTCCCAAAGGCCCCTGGAGGGAGGAGAGGAGGGTTTCCGTCCCCATGACAGAAATGGCTTGGCGGGCCCTTTTCTGTCGCGGCCTCCGACCACTCCACCTTGGCCATGAGGCTGCTGGGGCTCACCTGGCCCCGTCCTCTCCTCTGTCTTCTCTCTCCTTTTTTTCCTGTCTACTCTTCTCCAGAAACAAGACAAATCCCTCTCTCATGGAAGACAAGCTCCTACAGGGCTAACATCTGCACCTCCAAACCCTGGGGCCCCCTCCTACCCCAAGCCCTGATCACCAAATCCTTCAAACAAGGCAGCTCCGCCCCTCTGAGGAATCCTGGTGCCACATGTTAAAATCATAAACTTTTCTCCACCACATGAGGTAACATTTATGGGCCTGTTACTGGCCAAGCCAAATCCAAATATAATTACACTGGGACCCCACCCCTCGAGGGGCTGCATGTATATGTAACCAGCAGACCAGCTTGGGTGGGCCTGTGGGTCGGAAGATTCCACCAGGTAGCCCAGGCGGGTTTAGAGTGCAGCTGGAGGGCACTGACTGACAGAGCTCAGGTCGGAGCAGGAACCCCAAACTCGGAGGTGGGGGCCAGTAAGGAGTGGTAGAGAATGTGGCAAACCAGGGAGCCTGTGTTCCATCCAGAGGGGCTCAGCCGACTGCCACCATGTAGAGATGGGGGCCCAGGTGCCAGGCGTCCCGTTCTTCCAGAGAGGTCAGAAAACTAGATTGTTATGTGAACTCTCTGAAGTCTTTAAGTGTTGGCAACTAAATAAGAAATTTTAGGAAATACATAGGCAGGACAAATAGAACATCAGCCAACTGGATCAGGCTGAACCTGCGATTTCCGCTGTGACACGGCTGCCTAAGAGCAATCGTAAAAGCTGGCATCTGCTCCTTAGGCACCAGGTGTGTCCAAGGCTTGCGTGCAGCACCTCCCATGGGTCACTCTCGGGTTTCCCTGTGGGAGCCTGTAGGGAGGGAGCTGCTCTGTGACCTGCTGCTTGGAGGAGGGTGCAGGCCCAGGTTACCTGCTTATTCTCTTTCACATGTGCTCCCTCGAAAGCTTCCAGGCCTGTGGGGGACCCTGGAACTAAGGCCCTTCAGTCCCCAACCCCCGACACGGGGTGCTACACAGATCCCCCTCCTTCGGTGCTGTCCTGAGGCCGTGTGTACCCACCAGCGATTCCAGGCCCCTGTCCTGCTCGGTCCAGCAGGAAGCTGCAGGCTGCCTGGGCAACAAGTCCTCTGTGGGTGGGGAGGGTGGAGGCCTCTGAGGCCAGGCAGGGACTTCCCAAGGTGGATGGCTGGCCACACAAGCACCCTAGGAGACGGTGACTCCCTGGAAGGTCACTGTCTGCCTTTGCCAGTTTTTGCTGCTTCAACCAAATGCCAGTCTGGGTACTGTAAAAACAGTGAACATTTATTTCTCATGGTTCTGAAGCCTGGGAAGTCCAAGATCCAGGCACTGGCATTTGGTGTCTGCTGAGGGCCCTCTTCCTCTCATTGGCGAAGGGGCGAAAGGGATAGAAGAGGCAGCCAGCTCCCTCATACACATCTTTTTTTTTCTTTTTTCCTTTCTTTCTTTCTTTTTTTTTTTTTTTTTTGAGATACGGTCCTGCTCTGTCGCCCAGGCTGGAGCACAGTGGTGCAATCATGGCTCACTGCAGCCTCCCGCCTCAACCTCCCCAGTAGTGGGACTACAGGCATGCGCCACCACGCCCAACTAATTTTTGGTAGAGATGGGGTTTCACCTTGTTACCCAAACTAGTCTCAAACTCCTGGGCTCAAGCAATCCTCCTGCCTTGGCCTCCCAAAGCCACCACACCTGGCCAACCTCAAGCACTTTTATAAGGGCCCAAATTACCTTCCAAAGGCCCCACCTCCTAATGCAAGCACACTAGGGATAAAATTTCAGCATTCAACATCACCAGCCCCAGCCTCAGTGCCTCCCCCACCACAGGCATGGTTGGCCAAACATACCCCTGCACGGGTAACTTCACCAGCAATTCACACGATCTCCTCTCCCTCAGAGCCATCCACATCACCTCCCCTGACACCAGCCTCACACTGACCTCCTGCAGTGGTGCGATCATGGCTCACCACAACCTCGGCCTCCTGGACTCTAGCGATCCTCCCACCTCTGCCTCCCGAGTAGCTGGGACCACAGGCATGCACCTCCACACCAGCTAATTTTTGTAGTTTTTGTAGGGAAGGGGTTTGGCCATGTTGCCCAGGCTGATCTCGAACTCCTGGACTCAAGGAACTGATTAGCCAGCTTTGGCCTCCCAAAGTGCTGGGACTACTAGGTGTGAGCAGCCACCGCACCCAGCCTGTGTAGGGTAATTTTACCAGCAGCTAGAACCACTGACCCACCCATCCGGCCACTCTTCCTGATCACAGGCCTCTCTGCTGGCCACCTGCTCACTGGGAGGCCTCCTTCTCTGCTGTAACATGGAATCCACTCTCAACATGCAAGACAACATGCTACGGTGTCTGTTATGGAAGTGGAGCTCAAGCCTGCCGGCTAATAGTGCAGCACTGGGCACAAGTGGCAAGTCTATCTTTCTAGAAACTGTCCTCCCCAGCTTCTGAAACTGTCCTTCCCCTCTTCTGCATGCTCCTGGCCAGCGGGAGAGCAGAGAACAAAGAGGACTGCATGACGCCCATGGCCAGCCCTGAGGGGCACAGATCATGCTTGCACATTTGCTGTCCAGATCCCAGTCAGTGGCTGTAATATTGAGTGTCAACTTGATTGGATTGAAGAATATAAAGTATTGTTCCTGGGTGTGTCTGTGAGGGTGTTGCCAAAGGAGATTAACATTTGAGTCAGAGGACTGGGAGAGGCAGACCCATCCTCAGTCTAGGTAGGCACCATCTAATCTGCTGCCAGCTCGGCTAGAATAAAAGCAGACAGAAGAGTATGGAAGGACTATACTTGCTGAGTCTTCTGGCTTTCATCTTTCTCCCCTGCTGGATGCTTCCTGCCCTCAAATGTCAGACTCCAAGTTCTTCAGCTTTTGGACTCTTGGACCTATGCCAGTGGCTGGCCAGGGGTCTTGGGCCTCTGGCCACAGACTGAAGGCTGCACTGTTGGCTTCCCTATTTTTGAGGTTTTGGGACTTGGACTGGCTAGAAATGGAAGTGAGCGGAAGGTGGAAGTTCTCTCCCAGCTCAGCTCAGCCCATGCTGGGAGGGTGACTGGTGGCATGGAAAGCCTGCTGGGACTCAGCAGCACCTGGGCCTCTAATTGCCAGCTTTCTAACCGGCTCTGGGGCTGCAGTTCTCATTTTCAATCCTTCTGGATAATAAGCAGTGAGGACCTCTACTCCAGGTTTTGAGAAATGTCTCAAAATCTTGGGAAAGTGTTACTTTCTTGGATGGATCTCTAAAACAGTAGATCAAATTCAGACAGGAAAGCTAGACTATATTACTTCCTTCATTAATTTTTTTTTTTTTGGCGTGGGGCGGTGGCTCAAGCCTGTAATCCACGCACTTGGGGAGCCGAGACGGGCGGATCACGAGGTCAGGAGATCGAGACCATCCTGGCGAACACAGTGAAAACCCGTCCTCTACTAAAAATACAAAAAAAAACCTGAGCCGGGCGGAGGTGGCGGGCGCTGTAGTCCCAGCTACTCCGGAGGCTGAGGCAGGAGAATGGCGGGGAACCCGGAGGCGGAGCTTGCAGTAGGAGCTGAGATCCGGCCACAGCACTCCAGCCTGGGGTGACAGAGCAAGACTCGTCTCAAAAAAAAAAAAAAAAAAAAAAAAATTTTCACCATGTTAGCCAGGATAGTCTCGATCGTCTGACCTCGTGATCCACCCGCCTCGGCCTCCCAAAGTGCTGGGATTACAGGCGTGAGGCTCCACACCCGGCCACTTCCTTCATTAATATTTAATTGCAAGGCTGGACACAGTGGCTCGCGCCTGTAATCCCAGCATTTTGGGAGGCAAAGGCAGGTGGATCACCTGAAGTCAGGAGTTTGAGACCAACCTGGCCAACCTGGCGAAACCTCTCTCTATTAAAAATACAAAAATTAGCCAGCGTGGTGGCACACACCTGTAATCTCAGCTACTTGGGAGGCTGAGGTAGGAGAATCGCTTGAACCCGGGAGGTGGAGGTTGCAGTGAGCCAAGATCACGCCATTGCACTGTCGCCCAGGCCGATCTTGGCTCACTGCAGTCTCCTCCTCCTGGGTTCAAGCGATTCTTCTGCCCCCTGAGTAGCTGGGATTACAGGCATGCGCCACCTTGCCCAGCTAATTTTTGGATGTTTTTAGTAGAGACAGAGTTTTGCCATATTGGCGAGGCTGGTCTTGAACTCCTGACCTCAAGTGATCCACCTGCCTGTCTCCCAAAGTGCTGGGATTACAGGCGTGAGCTACCATGCCCGGCCCATGCCATGTATGTTTTACCACAATACATAGCAATAATTTTTTTTTTAAGTAATAGAGCAATCTCTGTAAGCGCCTTTAGCCAAAGACAATCACTATTAACACAACGTTAGTCTAAGCATCCCAGCTTTTCTCTTTTCTACCTCTGGAAAAGATACATTCTTAGCAAGTAAACACACCAGTGTGAAGGCACGGGGAAAACAGTGGGGCTCGCCATTGCAGTATTTCCTTCTGGTGTCCTTCTCTGAACAGTTGTATGTGGTTGAGATCACAA